ATGCCAACATGGCACTGGGAATAAAATCTCCAATCTCTGTAATTGCGGAGGAGATCACAGTGCAGGATATAGAGGATGTTTAGTGAGGAAGAATGCAGTGAAAGTCCAAAATGTGAGAATGGATAAAGGAATTTCATATGGCCAGGCTCTGAAGAAAGTAAAACAGACACAAGTTTACAGAAACTAGAAAGATTAACTATATTTAGGTTCATATGAACATATTATGCTACTGCATGGTAGTTATATGTATTTGTTTTAATGTATTATTGATGTTTTATTAATTTCGGATTGTGAGAAAATTGTTACAGCAGTTGTATAGTCTTTCAGCATATATCCTGACTCAAGTAATGTGTTTACTACAACATAACTACTACTTCTCTGCTGATGATCCTGTAAGGCTTGTTTAACAGCTCTATTAACAGCTGCTGAAATGTCTCTGTATTGCATGTCAGTAGTTCCTGTTTTCACCTCATTCATTATGCTGATGCCTTCAGATCACCTGTAAACTGCCACTTAAAGCGGGTGTCAACAGACTAGAGCAAACTACATGATCACCACTTTTGATATGTTAATATACAGTTAATTTTTCAGTCTATTATAAATCATGTTTCATGTAAAAAGAACTGCAAACTAAAACCCAGTTAACAAAGATTAATCTAAATGTGTTAGTTGTTGCTTACAAATCTGTAAATTAATTTATCCATCTGTATTCCTTACTGTTACATTTTTAAAATGATTATTATTGTATTTGAATTCTTTTAATTGTGGTATTTATTCATATTTTCCCCCATATTTCTTTGTCCATTCAATTATTTGGCAGATAAAAATAAATGTATAAAATGTTAAAAAATAAATTGATTCACTGACATAACATCAAACATTAATTTGTTTTAAAAACAAATTCAGTAACTTTACGTTTTGATATAGATATGCATAAAATGGGTGAAAACATGAATAATTTATTTTTTATTTCGGCAGATCTGCTCCTCCTACCACATAACAATTCATCTTCACTGAAGCTCCTCCCCCAGCAGATCAGCAATAAATGCTGGAATATTTTCCCATCAGCCTACAAGTGCGAAGAAAGAACAGTAAGAACATGAGTGATCCAGAACCCTGCAGAATAAAACATGAAGATACTGAAGAACAAATAGGTTGGTGTTTATGCTTGATTCTATATTAATTATGCTGAAGTACAGCAGTTTATCAGATTAGTGTTGTAGTGTAAAAACAAAACAAACAAAAAAATAAACTATAGGAGCTGTGAAATAACATCTGAGGGTTGTCCCCCCTAAAAATGTGACTAAAAACCATGCTGTGTATTGTAAATAACAGTGTTTTATACTTTAAATAACTTTGTAAGTAGTAAAACAACACAAACTGGATTTCCGCCTATGCACATAGATTGCACTTCTTGTCCTTTTCTCGGATGAACTGAAAATAACGTGTGTCCGTCTTACAAATGTAGAATCCGTCTCTGCATGATCTCAACCATTGAATTCCAGCAACAAAACTATTTTATCCACTTATTTTTTTTTCTCTGTGCTGTTTTGTGGTGTTGGTAAATTCACCATTTAATTTTGAGTTAAAATATGTTGTTGTAACGATCTCAACCATTGAATTCCATGAATTAAAAAAAGCAAACTATTTTATCCACTTATTTTTTTTTCTCTGTGCTGTTTTGTGGTGTTGGTAAATTCACCATTTAATTTTGAGTTAAAATATGTTGTTGTAACGTGTGTTACTGAGATTATAACGAGTATAATATTACCCCAATTTTATTAGTAATGAGTTATATTACTGCGTTACAGCCAGGGGCAGTTCTAGGATTTCATCTTCAGGGGGGCTTAGTCCTTAGAGAGACCATTAGATACAATGATACAAATAAACCTAAATAATTTTATTATATCTTATTACCTAAATAAACAGTATTTTACTGTGCTTATGAAAACTGTATTACTGTATGAAGTAAATATACACAATTGCCTATTAAAGTTACAGAAGTTACTTAGTTAAGAGCAGTGAGTGATGCTCTGTTTTTCTTTTGTTGTTTGATTAACATTATTAGCCTAATATAAGAAATGCATGGATCCGTTATACTGACACACATCCAATATTTTCTTAACTGTTTATGTTTAAAGGGGTCATTGGGAGCAAAATTCACTTTACATGTTGTTTGAACATAAATGTGTGTTGGAAGTGTGTGTACACATCCACCCTAATGATAAAAAGCCACCCAGTGTTTTTTTTTTTAATCCCTATTTTAAAATCCCCTTTCTCAAATCAGGCTGTTCTGAGATTCCTGTCAGAATGACGTAGTTCTGCACAGGCCCCTCCCATGATAGTTGATTGACAAGGCCATCTTACCATAGACACGCCCTGAGTGAGCTGTGAGCTGTCCGCCATTGTGTCGACTCCGGTGCAGGGGAAGTCAAGAATGTCTCCGATTAAGCGATTTGAGGAGTTTTGTTGTTGGATGTAATAATGAACATAGCAGTCGTCAACTTTCACATTTCACAGAACATAGCAATTAACGTTACTTTCGTTTCTGAAAGGAATGCGCTGATCTGCCTAAATGCGTCTGTTCATGCAAATTATTCGTGATCCAGCTTCATCTACAGAAGAAGTGAGTATAAAGGTTTTTTCTGAATCTTTGCAAATTGCCTTTCCTAATATATGCTAGTTAGCAAGTTTCGCGGCTGAAGTTTACAGTCTGCTAGTCACCCCACGGAAGAGAGGGGCGGGGTCAGCAGAGCTCATTAGCATTTAAAGCAACATGAACTAGATTGGCTTGCTGAAAACACAGCTGATTTTGACAGGGTAAAAAGGGTGTTTTTTTACACTACCATTGAGAAATTTTAACCAAAGTATGTTATAGACTTTTCATTAAGACCCTAAAGAATCATATCAACTTGTGGAAAATGGGCATCTGATAACCCCTTTAAGACATAGATAAAGTGTTTACTTGCATACTCGTCAAGACAGCCATTGTGACATAATATTGTGTGTATTTGCACAAGAAGATGAGGACCTACAATAATGTACAGTATTAGAAAAATAATGTGTTTTTTGAACATTAAAGCATGTCAACATATTCTGTTACACCAAATACACAAAATAATGATCTTTAAAAAAGCATCATATGACCCCTTTAAAATCCCCTTTCTCAAATCAGGCTCTTCTGAGATTCCTGTCAGAATGATGTAGTTCTGCACAGGACCCTCCCACAATAGTTGATTGACAAGGCCATCTTACCATAGACACGCCCTGAGTGAGCTGTGAGCTGTCCGCCATTGTGTCGACTCCGGTGCAGGGGAAGACAAGAACGTCTCCGATTAAGCGATTTGAGGAGTTTTGTTGTTGGATGTAATAATGAACATAGCAGTCGTCAACTTTCACATTTCACAGAACATAGCAATTAACGTTACTTTCGTTTCTGAAAGGAATGCGCTGATCTGCCTAAATGCGTCTGTTCATGCAAATTATTCGTGATCCAGCTTCATCTACAGAAGAAGTGAGTATAAAGGTTTTTTCTGAATCTTTGCAAATTGCCTTTCCTAATATATGCTAGTTAGCAAGTTTCGCGGCTGAAGTTTACAGTCTGCTAGTCACCCCACGGAAGAGAGGGGCGGGGTCAGCAGAGCTCATTAGCATTTAAAGCAACATGGACTAGATTGGCTTGCTGAAAACACAGCTGATTTTGACAGGGTAAAAAGGGTGTTTTTTTACACTACCATTGAGAAATTTTAACCAAAGTATGTTATAGACTTTTCATTAAGACCCTAAAGAATCATATCAACTTGTGGAAAATGGGCATCTGATAACCCCTTTAAGACATAGATAAAGTGTTTACTTGCATACTCGTCAAGACAGCCATTGTGACATAATATTGTGTGTATTTGCACAAGAAGATGCAAAAGTGAACTCAATTTGTAACCCTGATTGTTCAGCTGATTATAGTTTTTTTAGGGGGGCTGAGAAGACAAATAATGGGCTGAAGCCCACCTAAAAAGGGTCTAGAACCGCCCCTGGTTACATCAAAAAGTAATGTACTACTGTAATGTCTTTACTTTTGTAATGCGTTACTCCCAACACCCAATTAAAGCCTTTCAATTTCATTTTAGCCTTGATGAAAGGGAATGAGAAAGAGACTGAAGACCTGAGTGAAGCAGAGGAGAAACATCATCATATCAACTCTTTGAGTCTCTCACAGACTGAGAACATTTTTTCCCTGAAAAGATCCAAAAAATCTTTCACCATATTTGGATATATTCAATAAAGACAGAAATCTACCGTTGTTAAATATATTACTTTGTGGTGATTTTTTTTTTTTAAAGTAGGATCTGCTTGGTTTTGGGGCTTTCCATGTTTAAAATTTCTTGACAGAGCTGCCTAATAAATTATATTTCACCCCATTAATTCCGGTGTCTGTGGTGTCATTAAGTCGGAACAGTTAAAACTCCACACAGCTTTTGCAAACTATATCTCGCAATCTCTACAAGCTTTAACACAACCAGAAAAAGAGTAGCTTGAATAAAGATAAGCAGCTTGACTCAGTGTGCATTTTTTTTAGTTATTTTGTTCAGGTGTGTTTTATATGTTTTTATGGTTGTGAACAGTATGGTGCGTTTTTGATCAGTCCTTAGGAGTATTACCGCCACCTACTGTACATCTTTAGTCTTGCATGAGTAATGTGTCTGATGTATGTGCATTGTATTCTTTTATGAGATGTAGTGCCCCATCCAACCCAGAGGATCAGATTACTTCATTATCCACGTTTTTCTTAATGTTTTAATAATATTATTATTATTATTCTGCTAACTTCAGTTTCAGCCAAACTGTTATGAACACTGTTTTTGTTATTCTGAGTGCCATGTTTGAGAATTACAAAATCATTAGGATATTAAGTAAAGATCATGTTCCATGAAGATATTTTGTAAATTTCCTACTGTAAATATATCAAAACTTAATTTTTGATTAGTAATATATGCATATATACATATATATTAATAAATATCTCGGTCAAATGTTGTCCTAGCCTAACAAGCCATACATCAATGGAAAGCTTATTTATTCAGCTTTCAGAGTATGTATAAATCCCAATTTCAAAAAATTTACATTTATGACTGGTTTTGTGGTCCATGGTCACATTTCAGAAATCTGGTCATCTTACTAAATATTGCACCAAATAGAATTGTCCTATACAGTGGCAAAAGATTCAGCTATTGTAGGATATAACTAATAATAATGCAATAAACAAACTGACTACTGAATCATAAAGCTTGATTACACCGTGTGATCTGCTGTCAGATTCCTGTAAGATAAAATGGGGGAAGTTTTAATATGTTTTTGTTGTGCAAGAATGCTGAAAGGACACACAGAACAATAGCGTCATGCTCATATATATATGCAAGCAAAAACAAATACTGATCGATGCAAACAAACACAGATCCGCGATGGAGCTGAACAAACAGAGAGACACAGTGTTTACAGTAATACTGTATCTTACCGTATTGTGTACACATTGCACCCAGAATGGAGTTGTAGCCTAATGTACCTGGCAAAAGAAAAGAGTGTTCAAAAACATATTATTCAAAATGTTGTCTCAACGCTCAAACTCCACATTGCGGCATGCCATTTGAAGTACCACAAATTATCCAACTACAGCATATGTTAAAACTCCAGCCAGTTTTTATGCACCTGTATAAGCTTTCAGTGTTTCAATGTTTATAGCACTATTTTCAACAATTAAGCCTGCAATAATAGTTACCTTCTTGTGTGTTTACAGTTCCAGCTGAACCAGGATGTCATTTTAAAACCTGCAATAATGACCAGCACTACAGGAAGTATTAGTGCTATTAGAAAGAAATAGTGGCTCCGTTCTGTAATAGAAATAGACAACAGCACATTTTATAAGTTCTTGCTTTACTTCAGAATCAAACTTATGACTTTGGCATTGCTAGTGCTGTGCTCGACTGTTTGAGTTACAGGAAAGTAGCAGTAATACAGTACTACAGTACAATACAAATATCAGTCCTGTCCTACAAAGAACAATAGAGCAGCCTAAACAGACTATATTACCACCACTGACATACCTGCACATGGCTGACAGAGTCCACTGATGTCCAGATGTCTGGTCTGGTTGCTGATGGGATTGTTGAGCACACAGCTGTAGGTGTTTTTCTCCTGATATTCCACCTCCAGAGGTAGAGAGAGACTGATGCTGAGATCAGACACACTGATGCTGGACAATAAACTGTTTCCTTTGTACCAGGAGAGAGTCACATCACTCACATTCACAGCTGAACACAGCAGTGAACAATTGTGATTTGATGACAATGAAGATGATGGAGAACACTGTAAATAATCCCTACTAATGCTGGGAATGGGTAGCAGTTCTGAAAAAAGAAAAGAAAAATGCAAAGACTTCATGAACGAACCATTTATAGTTGTCTGCTGAGGGCATGATTGCTTGCTTTCACTGAAATACGCCATGTCAATATGGGATGTCCAAGCTAATACAGAACAGGGCAACCCTGGCTGCAGGTGCAGTACATAAACACACACAAAAAACTAACCCTTAAAGGAATATTCACTCTTGTGTACACATTGCACCCAGAATGGAGTTGTAGCCTAATGTACCTGGCAAAAGAAAAGAGTGTTCAAAAACATATTATTCAAAATGTTGTCTCAACGCTCAAACTCCACATTGCGGCATGCCATTTGAAGTACCACAAATTATCCAACTACAGCATATGTTAAAACTCCAGCCAGTTTTTATGCACCTGTATAAGCTTTCAGTGTTTCAATGTTTATAGCACTATTTTCAACAATTAAGCCTGCAATAATAGTTAAGTGCAATAATAATTACCTTCTTGTGTGTTTACAGTTCCAGCTGAACCAGGATGTCATTTTAAAACCTGCAATAATGACCAGCACTACAGGAAGTATTAGTGCTATTAGAAAGAAATAGTGGCTCCGTTCTGTAATAGAAATAGACAACAGCACATTTTATAAGTTCTTGCTTTACTTCAGAATCAAACTTATGACTTTGGCATTGCTAGTGCTGTGCTCGACTGTTTGAGTTACAGGAAAGTAGCAGTAATACAGTACTACAGTACAATACAAATATCAGTCCTGTCCTACAAAGAACAATAGAGCAGCCTAAACAGACTATATTACCACCACTGACATACCTGCACATGGCTGACAGAGTCCACTGATGTCCAGATGTCTGGTCTGGTTGCTGATGGGATTGTTGAGCACACAGCTGTAGGTGTTTTTCTCCTGATATTCCACCTCCAGAGGTAGAGAGAGACTGATGCTGAGATCAGACACACTGATGCTGGACAATAAACTGTTTCCTTTGTACCAGGAGAGAGTCACATTTCTCACATTCACAGCTGAACACAGCAGTGAACAATTGTGATTTGATGACAATGAAGATGATGGAGAACACTGTAAATAATCCCTACTAATGCTGGGAATGGGTAGCAGTTCTGAAAAAAGAAAAGAAAAATGCAAATACTTCATGAACGAACCATTTATAGTTGTCTGCTGAGGGTATGATTGCTTGCTTTCACTGAAATACGCCATGTCAATATGGGATGTCCAAGCTAATACAGAACAGGGCAACCCTGGCTGCAGGTGCAGTACATAAACACACACAAAAAACTAACCCTTAAAGGAATATTCACTCAAAAATAACAATTCTGTCATCATTTACTCACCCTCAAGTAGTTCCAAA